CTAAAATGTTTATCTATCCCTTAATTAATTCCTCCCCGTCGCATGGGTCATGCATGTCCCAAAGACCAGCAACACATATGTACGCCACATAATTACTTTTCCTCATGCATCTATGGAAAGATAAGCTTCTGTTGTCGCCGTTCACACCATGATCGACTCCTGGGTTCTCCATTAACACTAAGGCGCTGTTTGGTTCAACGTCTTATAGGCCCGTAATCAGTTCACATGGGCATCTGTTACCGTAACATATCATGTTTGGTTGTAGTACGCTGCAATCGATCGCAGCGGCAACTAATACAGGCCAGTACAAAGTCGTTAATGCTGAGCGTTATCCGATGCCACTCCGTTACACCTCTTATGTCAAGTCTGCAGTATGTCTGCAACCAAACAAATGCTGCTAATCGTTACATCGTAACAGATTCCAGGTGCAGTTGTTCCCATTAACGTTGCCTATACTGTCTCTGAACCAAATGACACCTAAATATATGTGGCTAGCAGAAGTTTAGTTGTACTTCTACCATATATGAGGCTAGCAGCGGGTTGAGATGGGTCTATTGGTCTAGACTCAATTAACAGAGGCGGGTTTCTAAGAGGTTCTCCTATGGAAACATGTCTTATTTTTAAAGGTAGGCCTCTTAAGTGGCTGTCTCTGTAAAAAGGTTTACAGAGACGGATACTTTTCTGCTATCTAAAAATAAAATATCTATCTCTGAAAATCACCATGTATTTTGAGAGGCCGACGCATGCATCTTTTGACTGCCTCCGTTAATAAATTTAGTTGTTTTCTAAAATCTTTTTAGTAGTAGTGCTTATAGCAGGGAAGTATGATTATCGATCTTTACGACCACAGGACCTGCAAGTAGCGATATGCCAGGATCCTAAAGTAGACTTGCTACCTGGTGGTTGCAAAGTAAAATTGGTTGATAAGTTGGGGCATATAAGTTCCGATTGCCTTATGGTCGTCATGGTGTTTTGGCTATTTTGGAAGGAAAGCAACCTCTGAGTCTTTGAGGAGGTTAGTTTAGTGTACAACTATCACACTGGCATTCAAGATCAAGGATAATGCTAGAATGTGGATTAAGCAGGGTACCATAGGTTGAGGTCTTTGTCAGTTAGTTTGAGTCTGTGTAATCTAGTTGTTAAGAATAAGCCATCTTTCATTTTCTTAAGTGTAACAAACCTCAGTGTACCTAATGCCATCTTAGCTGGTCTAGCTTAGGCGCGCCTGTGGACACTTTTGTCTCATCTTAATGAAATACATGCTCAGACACATTCACAAAACGGGTAAGGAAGTCTAGAGGAAGCTACATGTACGCACTTGAGAAGGCTATGAAGCCACTAAAGTACCAAAGCTGGTCATTAAAAGTAGTTAGCACATGTTTAGTGAGTCATTCACTATTGGAAACACCATTATTCCTGTGTGCCAAGTAATTTTTTTGACGGGCACAAAAGCACTCACAGAAAAATTCGATTAAACATGTGGGTTCCCTTGGCTCACAGAAAAATTTGATTTAACCTGTCGGTTTTTATGGAACACACAGAAAAAATTGGCTCACAGGGTAATTAAATTAATATCCTTGTGTGCTTTATATTTTTTCTGTCGGATCACACGCAAGTTAATTGGCTTGTCCTTTTGGCACGGTAAAAGCTAGTAGTTGTCTGCGCGTTTTGGCGCAGAAAAAATTCATTCCCGCTCGTGGCACGAGTTTTGGTGCCGCACTTTGGAAAGGAAATGATAAAAATTAAAAAACCCACCTTATCCTCCCGACCTTCCCCTTCTCCCACGGGAATTAAATTGTATGGACCCTGGGTCCAATCACTCTCCAATGCAACCCCTCATGGATGGATGACACGTGGCGCATGAAAAAAATCAGACGCTCAAGGTGATACCGAGAATCTGTTAACTTCCTACATTTTTTAAGGGTAATTGTCCATGGAATAAACTGCGTGCATGGTGGGGTCTAGCACACATGAATAATGTAGTTTACAGTAGTGATTAGTATTAGACTAGGGCTAGTCGGCTAGGAAGAGTTATGATAAGGTGTTTGGCTTGTTCCTTGTTCAAGGAGAGAACTACATTTACTTGTTTTGTGTCCCTGTTATGTTGTACCATGGAGAACCTTGGCAGCTTGTTAGCAACCATTTCTAAGGGGTTGTTTGATCTAGCATTTTATGAGAACTAGTTTCCGTAGGTACTGTAACTACCCGCAAAATAAACTTTGTTTGGATCTTCCAATAAACTCCCGTATAAGATAAATTCATTTTCCATAAAACCACAAAAATGTGTATTAATAAAAATGGCTCCACATCGCTTTTAGTTAAACTGATTTTCGATAACCACGATCTGCCCGAGGCCATGCAGGCACCCAACGCCGGAAAATACGTTCCAACCAAACATAGTTTACTCACGCTAACTAACTAATAACCAACTCAAAACCGGTTTGTCTAAAAACCTCTTTAAAATTCATTTAGCTAAAACATATTTATATTCTAGAGATCCAAACAACCACTAAGGACGGCCTGTACAACACTATTAAGTGGCAGACGCTTAAAGGACGTTAAGTTTGTTTTTTTGCCAGGCTGGAACTTGCCCGAGCGGTCGTGAATGCATCGATTGCCTAGGCAGCCACGCTCGTCGGACGCTTGCACCCGGCCACAAGCGCCGATGCTCCAGGCTTGCCTCAAAAGTGCTGAAGGAGCCATGTTCCGCGTTGGGGCAGATGAGCGACAAAATAGATTGTTGAGGTTCAAACTAATTAAGCGCTTATAAGGAATTTTTCCATTGTAGATTAGTAGATGCTTGTATGTTCTCTCTCTTTAAGAGTCTATCTAAGCAGCTCTGCGTTGCCCTTGCCCTAAGTCAGTTACGTTAGGATTTTCAGCTTCCCTCAGAGAAGAAGATATTGTTCCTTGTGGTGGAAAGTATACATTTAGGCTCAAGTCTTCGAGTTAGCACATATGCTAATATTTTCTTAAATTTATTTTATGTTTGTCGATATATTTTGCAGTGGTTGTATATCTTGACAATGAGAATATCTTTATGCTTACAGTTTGTGACTTTGCGTGACTTCGTAAGGGTGAATGTGCATATATGTTTATGTGAGCTTCCATCTCCTCATGGAGTTTTTTTATACAAATAAAAAACCATGTTATTGGCCAATGGATAAAAAAGAGCTCCTTAAATTACGGCCCTTTTGTTCTCGGTGACAAACCAACATTTGAGTGTGGCCAGTGAATTATTGGATTCTGGATCGACCTCACTCTACATGACAAACGAGACATTATATTATCATCAGCACGTGTCCTGTTCACGTTCAGGCAATATGTGTGGCCTTGGTTTCTTGGAGTATAAGAACAAACAGAGAAGGCGTGATTAGTTGCTTTGGTGATGGAGAGCCGGGATGGAGAGGCAGTACAGGATTGTGAGATGTATGCTCAAATCGTGCACCCAGTCGTGTTTGGTTGTCTTTGTTATTGGTCCAGTACGAGATGTAATCTTGTTTGGTTGCATGCATGGATAAGAGTTTTGAGCGTGTGACACATGGACCCTTATACCATGGGTGCATCGTGTCGTCCTGCATCGCGAGGGAAGTAGAAATTGAGAAGACGGAGCCGTGCGGGATGGTGTAGGGTAGCGGAATGAAACGAACAGGCAAAGCGTGCGAGGCGGGGAACCAAACACGACAGAGGAATGAGTCGAAGTAGGCAAAGGGTGTAAGGATGGACTGATTTGGGCAACCAATCAGCCCATGAGAAGACGGAGTTGTACGGGATGATGGAGGACAACCGAATGAAACGAAGCAGACAAACGTGTGAGACGGAGAACCAAACATGACGAAGGAATAAGTTGAAGCAGATAAAGGACGCAAGAATGGCATGGTTCGAACAACCAATCAGCCCCAGAGTGGACAATCGACACATGACTTCCATACCGTACTATTTGACAAGTTTATGACGAAAGTGGCCACGTGACAACTGTTTATATCACTGTCACTGTGTTATTTTATTGCATCGGTCCACGAGACAGTACTGCTTCGTCCCGTAAAAAGATTCATTATAGAACTTGTACTGGTTAAACATTTTTAAATTTGACCAGTACCTGATCGTTTGAGCTTATTTAAAAGTATTTTTTAATTATAGAACAGTATTTTTTTCTCATAATATTTTAGAATAAGCTAAATTTTAACATCAGCGAACAGGGTGTAGGTTTATAGATTATATTAATAATATTTATAATCATGAAAATATATTCAACGATATTTTTAAATATATATCAGGTTAAAATTAAAAATACTTGATTTCTTGGAAGCGAGAACGATATCTCTGTCGAACTACATCGGTCATCACTGTTTTATGAGATGCATGGTTTGACACATGTTCAGCGTGATTACACACAGTCCGCTCTCTTTTTATGCCACCATGAAAAACCTGCACTCTCCATGTTCCCGAGGAAGGCTTCGATTTCCATTTCTGCCAGCGCAGCTCACTACGTAACACATCAACACTGCCAATGGCCGTGGCATTGCTAGCCACCTGCCTCGTCATCCTCGTGCTCAGCTCCGTTGTCTGGCTGCGCGGCCGTCGGAGGCCACTTAACCTCCCTCCGGGTCCGCGCGGGTGGCCGGTGTTTGGCAGCCTCAGCTTGCTGGCTGGCGAGCTCCCGCCGCACCGCGCGCTAGTCAAGCTCGTGGCGCGCCATGGCCCGCTCATGCATCTCCGGCTTGGCTCCTTCGACACCGTGGTGGCGTCATCGGCGGAGACGGCTCGGCTGGTCCTCAGGACCCATGACCTTGCCTTCGCCGACCGCTCGCCCACGGCCGCCGGCGCGATCCTCGCCTATGACTACAAGGGCATCCTGATGACTCCCTACAGCCCATACTGGCGTATGGCACGCAAGCTCTGCGCCACCGAGCTCTTCTCCCCGCGTCGCGCTGGCGCGCGGCCTGTTCGAGTCCGCCGGCGCCACCGTCGAGGTGAAGGAGCACCTCGTGAACTTCACCATGCGGAACATCCTTCGCATGGCCGTCGGGGACAAGTGGCTGGGCATCTACACCAGTGAGGAAGGCGAGGCTTTTCGGCGCACCCTGGATGAGGCGTTCGCGGTGACCAGCGGGTTGCGTAATAACATCGGCGAGTGGGTGCCGTGGCTCGGGCGGCTTGACGTGCAGAGCTTCACTCGGCGGATGATGAGGGTGCACGAGAAGCTGGACCGGTTTTCGTCGCAGATCCTCGACGAGCACGAGACAGACCGGCGGCGTTGTGCCAGAGACGGCGGCGGCGAGTTCACAGCAACGAGGCTTGAGGAGGAAATGGAGGCCCGACTTACACGCGGTGGTGCGAAGGCCTTCATCCTGGACATCATCGCCGGCGGCACGGAGACTGGGGCGACAACGATGGAGTGGGCCATGGCGGAGCTCCTCCGCCGCCCAGACGCCATCGCGGCCACCACCGCCGAGCTAGGCCGCGTTGTGGGCCGTGGTCGCTGGGTCACGGAGCGTGACCTACCGGCTCTCCCGTACTTGGACGCTGTGTTGAAGGAGACGATGCGGCTTCATCCTGTGGCCCCTCTCCTGGCCCCTCGTCATGCCCGCGAGGACAGGGTGGTCGCAGGCTACGACATCCCGACCGGCACACGCGTGCTGGTGAACGCGTGGGCTGTGGCGCGTGACCCGGCGTCGTGGCCTGACGCGCCTGAAGCTTTCCGGCCGGAGCGATTCCTCGCCGGGGATGCCGCCGAGGATGTGGACGTGCGTGGAGCGCACTTTGAGCTACTCCCATTCGATGTGGGGCGGCGGATGTGCCCAGCGTACAACCTCGCGATGAAGGAGATGGCGGCGGCCCTAGCGAACCTGCTGCACGGGTTCACGTGGCGGCTGCCAGACGGGGTGGCGCCCGAGGACGTGAGCATGGAAGAATTCTTTGGGCTGGCGATGAGCCGGAAAGTGCCCCTCGTCGCCATCGCCGAGCCCAGGCTGCCGGAGCACCTGTACGCCGGTGTGGACTAACAACCAAGCTTATGAGCTGTTTGGATCTTCTAAAGACTGAGATCCAGATTCTAGACAGTGATTCTAGAATCTGGATTCTGGATAATAAAAATAGGAAAAAATCTAAATTACTTCCCTTAAGTTTGGCATATGTCCAGATTACCCTCTAAACTTACATTTGGTTCAATTTACTCCCTCCAACTATTTTAGTTTAATCTAGTTTACCCCTTAACATGGTTTGTTATTTTTGTTTTTCCACGTATTAGTTGAGTCTTAATATCAACTTTTGTGATATGATAGAGAACAACATAAGTTATGTTAGAAAAATATAACTTAACTTTTTACCACTATTTTGATAGCTTAGGAAATTTAATAATAAATTAACACTAGAGATATAATATCGTATAAAACATAATGATGAAAAATTCATAGTGCATTTTTCTAACACAAAATACAATGTCCTCTGTCACCTCACAAAATTTGAAACTAAAATACAATTTGTACATAGAGAAACAAAAAATAAAAATCTCTTTAAGGTGTTTGTTGGACCAACTTAAATAGTTGGAGGGAGTAAATTGAACCAAATGTTAGTTTGGGGGGTTATTTGGACATAGGCCAAACTTGGAGTTAGTAATATGAACTTTTTCCATAAAAATAGGGTATACCTATTATCTCCAAATACTAGGAGGAAGATGGATAATTAGAATTTCATAATCTGGTGGATGAATCATAAGAATCTCCGATTAGATTCGACATGTGTGAATCTCATTCTTATTATCTTGTCTCATTCTCATAATATTTAGGAGATCCAAAAATAACCTTATATGCATTCATCATGTGTATGATGTGTTTAGTTGTACTTCGATCCACCCAATCCACATGTATCTGCACCCTCAATACATTTGGATTGGGGGTGGATTGAAGTGCAGCCAAATAAGACCTTACAACTCTTATTCTTCCAAAAGAGTGCTTTTGTTAATTAAATAATACTTGCCCAATGCATGCTTCAGCAAGTCTAGGCCCCTGGAGTTGGACATAGGGTGGCCTGGGCCGACTACTCGATCAGAGTCTAGAGTTTACTTGGGTATCTTCGTCAACTTGACATTCATGACAAGGATAGATCGTATTCCACACATCTCGAGATTATATGTTGTAACCAACTGAAATGGTGGCTTGAGTTTATCCTAAGTCAAACTATGCTATGTTTGACCAAGTTTACATAGAACAATATTAACCTCCGCTATATCAAATAGGTATAATATATCCAATGATGTTAATTTGACATTGTAAATATCATTCTTCTTTTCTACAAAATTGATCAAACTTAGTATAATTTGATTTAGGATAACCTTAGGTCTCTTATATTTCAGGACGTAGTGTCACATCTATTTTATATGACAAAATTGAATACAAATCACATGTATTTCATGATCAATGTTGGTGTTTTGTACTGCTAGCTAGTAAATATATATGTATTCGTGCGTTTCATTCGGAGTGGCCTAGCACTTGGCGACTCATAATTTATATTACTTTAGGCAAGAGCACTACATCCTAGACATCATCGCCGGCGGCATGGAGACTGGGGTGACAACGATGGAGTGGGCAATGGCGGAGCTCCTCCGCCGCCCGGACGCCGTCGTGGCCACCACCGGCGAGCTGGACCGCGTGGTGGGCCGTGGTCGCTGGATCACGGAGTATGTGACCTACCGGCGCTCCCCTACTTGGACGCTGTGTTGAAGGAGATGATGGGGCTTCATCCTATGGCCCCACTTCTGGCCCCTCGTCGTGCTCCCGTGGACACAGTGGTCTTAGGCTACGACATCCCAATCGGCTCACGCTTGTGGGCTGTGGCGCATGACCCGGCGTCGTGGCCTAACGCGCCTGAAGCATTCCGGCCAAAGCGATTCCTCGCCGGGGGTGGCGCTGAGGACGTGGACGTGCGTTGGGCGCACTTTGAGCTACTGCCAATCGGGGCCAGGTAGCGGATGTGCCCAGCCTACAACCTCGCGATGAAGGAGGTGGCGGCGGCTCTGGTGAACCTAGTGCATGGGTTCACGTGGCGGCTGCCGAACGCGGCGGCACCCGAGGACGTGAGCATGGAGGAATTCTTTGGGCTGATGACGTGCCGGAAGGTGCCCCTTGTCGCCATCTTCGAGCCTAGGCTGCCGGAGTGCCTCTACGCTTGTGTGGACTAATAGTGAGACCTGTTTAGATCTTCTAGCATGTATTTGGTGTAGGGACAGAGTGAAACAGGATGAACCCGTTCCTAATTTTAGGATTGGGATCATCCCATCTATAACTTTGGTTTGGTTGCGAGAATGGATTCATCCTTATTTTTTTTTGGTTGAAGGGATTTGAGGAATGAGATGATCTTATTTTCTTAAATAGGATCATGCCCGTGCGTTGCAACGGGAACAACCACCTAATCTTAGCTATGCTCACGTTGATCGCCTTATCCATGCCACCGCTGTCCCACCCGCGACGCCAATATCTGCATGCCACCGGTTCTCCAAGAGTCAAACCACATATATTTTGATGATAGGTAAAGTGCCCGTGCGTTGCAATGAGAAAAAAAATGACATCATGATTCAAGTTTACATGGTTTGTACAGTTAAAAAGATACTATAATTGTGATGTCCACAACTGTATAAACGATGAACAATTAGAATATATAACTCAAGTTTTTTCCCCCATGCTGAGATCATGTTGCAGCGGGAGAACATGAAGGATTGTTCGTGTGCTGCAAAGATCGATAACACAATAACAAAAGTTATGCATTTAGAAAAGTCAAAACGACTTACAAGTTAAAACAAAGAGAGTAGTAAAGATCTGATCACATGTTTCTGCAATGGAGTAGATCCATGAACAATACAAATTTCAATGAAAACTTCATTCCTCTTGCGTAGATTGTCTCACCCTCCTACACCGTAAGGAAACTTTTAAATAACATGCCTCTTAGTTCAAATATAAAATTGCTATTTTCTACAAAATAAAGAATTTCAAGGGTTAAATTAATATATAAATGCATAAAGGATGCCACATTTAAGCCATAATTAAATTTGTGATACGGTCATGGAACATTAATCATAGTTGAAAGAATAAACACTTGATTGTGTACATTGCACTCAAATTTACGAAAGCTGCATCTAAAATTCTAAATGGCTAGACTGAATAAGGGAAGTCCATAGAACTTGAACCTAAATCCCTCATGCAACTCGAATATAAACTCTTGTACATGAATGAAGGCAGTGTCCCATACACGTCAGGAACAATATTTGCAAATGCGGGGGAGGCAAAGCGAGCGGGAGTGAAGGGAGCTAGTTTTGACGATTGTCAGGCTTTTTAGGAGTATGAGATAAGACAAGATCCTGACCTTGGCTACAATAGTGAAAAGAGATTAGAATTCTGAGAAAAATAATGTTAATGAGCAAGTACCCCTCATCTCCTTTAGTATCTTCTAGAATCCTAAGGTGATGCACTGCTAGCAAGCTGTAGAATCCAAAGGTGAAGATGGACTTCGCCTGGGAAACAAAGATGGCAGAAGCATTAGGAGGTGATAACTGATAAGGAAATAAGGAAAGGCAGTAGAATGGCAACAACAATGGAAATCGGTCACACTTTTTCTCATGAGTGCATTAAGGTTATTCTGACCAAAAGAGAAAAAATCATGCTGCTACTAAAGCACAGTAGCAGCATAACAGAAGATATCACCTAAGTTGTTTAGATTGCATTGGAGATATCACCTTTGTGATCTGCAATCTTTTCAGATTCACATTCAAACTAATACAATATATGAGACAATAAAAAATGCACAGCCATAAACATACTATATATGACAGTTTCTCATCATATATAAATACTTCATATATGGTGTATATTTGGTTTCTTCAGCTCTTGTCAGGATCAGAACCTAGAAGTACCTGGCAATATCAAAGCCATATCTGGATACTGACTGATAAGCCTTTCTAAGTTCCTTAGAAAAATAAGGAAGTTAACCCATCGTAGGATAATTTTCATACACATGTAAATAACAGTGGCACACTCAAAATTACTTTTGGTCAGAAGATTACGGTAACTTTGTTTTCCATTGGAAAAAGACATGGTGCTATATTACTTTTGGTCAGAAGATTACAGAATGTTCTGAGTGACAGCTCCGGCGAACTGAATGACATTAGGGTGTCGGACCTTCTCCATTATAGTACAGTCAGTTCATGCCTGAAAACATAATTGGTTGAACACAAATATTTGTTTCAAAAAAAAAGCTAGGCATAGATATTGGCATCTTACAGTCAGGTCCTCCACCGCTGATCCCACGCGGCTCTGGCTCTGGCTCCTCCGGCTGCGCCACTGGTTCGTGTCCATGGACGACTCCACCTGAATGCATCAAATGTAGAAGTGATTTCAAATGATAGATTAAGGTGAAAATGGCCTGAAAATGGAAATCAGAAATAAATGTTGCCTCACATAGATAACATGAGTAGTAGTGAATTTGGATGGTTCTATGAACCTGATTTTCAAACTTCAAACATTTGATTCTCAAACGTCAAACATTTGCAAACCGGAGGGAGTACGAAGAACACTTGTTACGACATCAAACTTGGATGACCATTGATTAAGCTACAACCCATTTATAGCCACTAATGAAAAGTTGATTTTCCTTAGTACGAAGAACACTTGGAACCCTCCTCATGAAGCACTGGAAAAAACAAATAAAAAACATTTAACACGATCAGTATAAATCTCTTCTCATCTATTGTTATTATACAAAAAACGGAATAAGGCTGATCAAAATTAATTTTATTAAACTGCAATTGTACTTGGGATTACGAGGTGAATAAGTCCAATCAAAATTTATAATTTATTAAACTGCAATTGTACATAGGATTAGGAGATCGATGTCTTGCATATGTACACTTCTTTTGTGTATCTATTTACATAAGTAAGAAGAATATAAAAACATAGATGTTCTACCTATCCTAGGCATCCAAATCAAAAATATTTTATCAATTAGCATATCATAGTTCGAGAATCATCAACCCAATAGTACATGACTTCAGATTTTTAGCAAAAGCAAACAGCAACCACAGGAGAAGAGAGACAGGAAACAAACGCTCACCTTGCGTCCGCTTTGTGTGCGTATATGGCCGTTGGCCGCACCGCCCACTGTCCTGGCACGCACACCCGGCCGCTGGTCGCGCTCCCCATCCACTGTGCGTCACCTTCGCCTTGGATTGGAGAGCGCCGCTGCCGAGTGACCGACTGGATCTGAGCGCCGTGTGCGTGTCTGGCCGTGGGGAAGGACGGCAAGGACAGGGGCTCTAGCAATGGTTTCGGCCGAGAAGTTGACTGCGTGTCTGCGTGTGTCGTATGCGGGGAAGGAACGCACGCCGTGATTGAAGACGGGATTCCTGTGATTGAGGAGTAATTGGTGATTGATTTTCTTTCCATTTTGCTGGATGGATGACGGGAGAGCCGGAGGCTGCTATCGCGGGGAAAGCGAGTGATTGTTACGGAAATTGATTTTTGCCTTCCTGCTGCGGCCGTTACGGGGATTGAGCTGATCGCATGGAGCGAGTGCGCATTGCCTTCCTGATCTGATCGCATGGAGCAGCTTTGGTGTCGCACCTGTGGACGGAATAGTTATGAATATTTTAGTTGTAGAGATAACGTCACCAACCATCAATTGTGGGTCCCACTTGTCAGTTGTTGGCCCCATGAGTCATCCTCCCAATCCTTTTTTTACCGGCATCTTCTCCCCGCATGTGCGGATGAGGACCACCGCCGCCTGCTCAAACTTGCGTCCCTCGCCACCGTCGGCCGATGCCTCCCCTACCGCCTGATGGATCTCCCGTGCTGCTCTTCCAGGCCACAGTGCCTTGGGAGTTGGTCCTTGCTGTCGCCGGGCCCTCGTCATCACATCTTGTCGGGCTATCGTCGCTACGAGACATCGTCACTTCTATTTTAAAACTACAACAAAAACATTTTATTAAACATTAACAACAACCTAACTAAATCTTAGAAAATTATCCCAAATAAATTTTAGGGTGTGACAAACTACCCCTTAACAGGAGTCTCGCCATGTGATTCATTGAAGCTACACTTATAACAAAGAGAGAAATCATACATTGGCACGATAACAGAACAAGTCGTGCAAAGAGTACACTAGCATGATGGTGTCCTTTACGAGAACACACTACCTCTCAACTTAGTATCGTTGCTAAAGTAAAAAAGCGCCAAGGTAAAAACTTCCTATAAAAGGCATATGATGGAATGATATTGAAGTCTTCAGTCTTGAGGGCGATGATTCTTCTTAACGTAGATCTTCAACTTCACCAGCTTCTTCGTTGATCTTGGAGAAACGAGAGGGGCTTTGGTGAAAAAGTTTTAAAAACAAAGCATCAAGGGAGAAGGAAAATTAGAGTATAGACTTTGTTTTTCTGAAAATAACTTCAAAACAAGAACATTACTATCTAGGCTAGCATCCTACGATTAACACAACTTTGGTACTCACGTACAGATTTAAGGATAAAATTGAATGCAAATCACATGTATGCAAGTACCAGCTTATCCATATACATGTGACAACAAGGGGCAGGCAAGAGGGAGGTCACCAGTGGTTTAGGGGCGTTGGGAGAGGACACATAAGGGACGGGCCATTGGGAGAGAGGCGCTCGAGAAAGTTAAATCTGCCCTGCAGGGCACATGCCCCAATCTACCCTGTAGGGCACACGCCCTCGCACATGCAGGACACATGCCCTCACACATGCAATCGTTGGATGAACATCTCGTGATGTGTGCCACACATTTACTCCAGTCCAAATACAAATGTCCCATACGCAAATACAGTGGGCCCTCCCTTCCTCGGTGCCTCCCCTCCCGTCTCGTCCTTCCCCTCCCTTGGTCCCTTCCTATCCATCTCATACCCAGGCGGCGCCCCTCCCCCTGGAGCACCATGGCAATGAACCCTCCCCCGACACCTGCGCCCTCCCGCGGCGTCCCTGCCCCTTCCCCGACCTAACCTTATCCTCTCACGCGACCTTCTTCTCCCCCTGGACTCCGGCGGCGGCGGGTTCCAACGGCCGTTCCGGTGGTGGCAGCATAGGCGAGGTGTGCCTCCTCCTCCTTCTCCTGGATCTCCGAGCTAGGGTTCCAGCGAGCTCTCTCTCATCTTCCCCAACTCCGGCGGGCTTAGAAG